TTATAAGAGTTGCCATGGTCATGGTGTCCCTTCACAGAAACCCTAACTAAGACAGGAGGTCAATCTGAGGACCCATAGCTGTGGAAGAAGAGAAAAGAGTTCCACAATTTGTCCTCTGACTTCCACAAGGACACACATCTATACACACAATAAACAAACAAACAAACAAACAAACAAATAAATCTCTCACTCTCATTGTGATGGTTAATATTGGCAACTTGACAATATCTAGAACTACCTGGAAGATGGCCTGCCCATCTGGATCAGGAGTGATTATCTTGATTATGTTAGCTTTGGTAAGACCCCTCATAGCTGTGAGTGGAACCATTCCCAGGTCAGGGCTTTCAGGACTGTATAAAAGGGAGAGAGTGAACTGCGTGCATTCATCACTCTCTGTATCCTTATTGTGGTGTTGATACAGCCAGCTGTTTCAGGATCCTGCTGCTTTGGATCCCCACCCCCATGCTCCCATGGTGCTCCCATGATGCTCCCATGGTGCTCCCATGATGCTTCCATGGTGCTCCCATGGTGCTCCTATAGTACTTGAATTTTGAGATAGAATAAACTCCTTCTCCCTTAAGTTGCTTTGGTCAGAGTATTTTATCACAGCAACAGGAAAAGGAATTAAGATTGAAATACTATATCTAGGAACTAAGTTAACTCACAGCCAGTCAGCACCAGGCATAAAAGCAGGCCTGGTTGGCCTGGTCAGTCAAATGTAAGCAGTATCACCTAACCAACCTTGAATATACCCCAGGGCTGTGAACAAGAAGCACTTGTGTGCCACTGGAAATTTTTGCTGTTGTTTTGAGACAGGGTCTCTCTGTGAAGTCCAGGCTGGCCTCAAATCCAGAGATGCACCTGCCTCTTGAGTGCTGAAATGAAAGGTGTATACACTACCATGCCCAGCTAGGGAGACATATGGTGTAATGTGTATAGGAGCCTGTGAAGGCTAGAAGATGGTGTTGAATCACCCGGAACTGGAGTTAGGTGGTTGTGAGTCATCCGTGCCTTCTTATCATGACTGTAGTTAACCACTACATGATATGTGAAGGCCAACAGTAAGCTCATGGTTATTAGTGTGAGGCTGGCATATGCTGAGGGGGGGAAGGATGTTGCAGAAGTCTCTGCTCCATTGAGGATGCCACGTTGCCCTCTCTGTAGTAAAAGTGCCTTTAATGTGACCAACCATTGTGACCCCAGATGTCTGCCTGGAGGCAGGCAGGGTACCAGTCTTGGCGTCTTTCTTGCTTTCTTTCTGGGTAGGAAAGTGGTTTGCTTGCTGTTCCTGCTAACATACTGTAATTGTTCTCCACTTTACAACACCCCCACACTTGAGTTAGTGTTAGTTTACATTCAACATTCAGTAATTCTTGGAAAGCTTGTTGTTTTTGGTCAGCTAGTGGATTATTCATGCACTGTGGTTTGGGATAAGAGTCTCTGGGGCTTGTGTGTTAAAGATGTGGTCCCCTGCCTGGTTCAGTTGTGAAGTGACAGAACCTTTAAGAAGAAGGGCCTGATTCCTAGTTCTTAAGTCACTATGGTATGCCCTTGAAGAGAATTGTGGGACTCTAGTTTCTTAGTCACACTTTTGCTTCCTCGTTTGCAGAGTAGTTTACTTTGCAAGTACACTCACTCCCATCCTTGGCCACCCTTGACAGCATCTCTAAGTGATGCAAGCACTTGATCTTGGGCAGAAATCTTATTTGTTTTTAATTGCCTCTGGCATTTCATTATGGCAATGGAAGGGTGGGCCTTTCAGTCAGACTCTAGTGAAAGATGGGGCACAAGGAACCAAGCTTCTCCAGGCCGTGTGGCCTTGTCTCTTCAATATCTCCAGCCCTTATCTATATGATCACTTACGGTGGTGGTTTGAATATGCTTGACTCATAGGAAGTGGCACTGTTTGGAGGTGTGGCCTTTATGGAATGGGTGTGGCCTTTTGGCGGAATTGGGTCACTGTGTAAGTGGGCTTTGAAGACTCCTATGTTCAAACTCTGCCCAATGTGGAATAAGACCCTCCTCCTGGTTGCCTTTGGATCAAGATGTAGGACTCTCAGCTCCTTCTCCACCGCCATGTCTGCCTGCATGCTGGTATGCTTCCCGCCATGATGATAATGGACTGCACTTCTGAAACTACAATCCAGCCCCAATTAAATTTTCTCCTTTATAAGGGTTGCCTTGGTGGAAATGGGGGGTGGAGGCAGGAGACAGTATCAAGTACTGGAGGGGACAGGAAAGAGGTACAGAGGGTTAGGAAATTGAATAAAAATATGTAGCAGTAGAGGATGGGGAACTGGGGATAGCCACTGGAGGGTCCCAGATGCCAGGGAAATGAGAGGCTCCTAGGACCCAATGGGGATGACTTTAGCCGAAATGCGCAGTGAAGGGGAGACAGAACCTGTAGAGACCACCTCCAATAGATAGGCATGGCCCCCAGTCAAGGGATGGAGCCACCCACCCATCTCAAAGTTTTTAACCCAGAAATGTTTCTGTCCAGAGGAAGAACAGGGACAAAAAATGGAGCAGAGACTAAGGAAGGGCCATCTGGGGACTGCCCCACCTGGGGATCCATCCTGTCTGCAGATACCAAACCGAACCTTGTTGCCGTTGCCAAGAGGCGAATGCTGACAGGAACCTGGTGTGGCTGTTCCTTGCTGGGGGCGGGGTGGTCAGCCAGCAACTGACCAGTGCAGAAGTGGATGCTTGGAGCCAACCATCAGACTGAGCTCAAGGACCCCGGTGGGGGAGCTGGCAGAAGGACTGGAGGAGTGGAGGGGGATTGCAACCCCACAGAAAGAACAACATAAGCTGGCCTGACCACCCAGTACTCCCAGGGACTAGACCACCAACCAAGGAGTGTACAGGGAGGGATGCATCGCTCTAAATTCATAGGTAGCAGAGGATGGCCTTGCCTGACATCAATGGGAGGGAAGGCACCTTGGTCCTGTGAAGGTTTGATGCCCCAGCGTAGGGAACTCTGGTGGTTGAACAGAAAAAATGGAGTGATTTGGCCGTCACTTTTACGTTATGGAATCAGAGGTGCAGCAGCCATGGATTCATATCATATTTCCACTGTGGTCTCCAACAGGGATCCAGTTAGCTACTGAGCTTAAAATAGCTGATCATTATTGTCAGGTTCCAAACCTTGGGACAAATGGCTGAGGTGCTTATTTAATATATTAAAGTAGATGCTGCCAGGTTCTCCCAGAATCCCTCAGTCTCTACCTGTCATAGGAACCTCCTGACTGGCATACCCCATTCCCCCAACCCTAAACTTCTTCAGCCCAGGTACCCTTGGTCTTCCTTTCTCCCTTCTCTCTTCCTCTCCCCCTCTCCCCACATGGCCCAGGGTCATGTTTACTCTTGACTCTCCCAAATGTCCCTGCCTCTGGCTATGCTCTCCCACACATCTGTAATAAGCTTTCTCTTCCACCATACCTAGGAGCAGACATCTCTCTCTTTCTTTCTTTCTTTCTTTCTTTCTTTCTTTCTTTCTTTCTTTTTTTCTTCCTTTCTTTTTTTCTTTCTTTCATTCTTCCTTTCTTTCCTTCCTTCCTTTTAGTTAATTTGGTGCCCAAATCCAGGACTGGTCATGTTCCAAGTTCCTTCTTTTTATATTTCTTTTTTTTTCATTCAATTATGAAGCTACAAGAATACTTAATAATTACCTCTCAAAGGGTGGGGGGGTAATTACCCTATTGGTGCAACACTTGACATTCAAACATGAGGACATGGGTTTAATACTCAGAAATCACATAAAAAACCAGGTGTGGTGGCACACACTTGTAATCCCAGCACTTGGCTGTTGGTTGGGGGAGGAAGAGGAATCCTCCTGGCTGTTGTACCCTGCCCCTTACCCTAAACTTCTCCAGCTCAGGGGCTGTACTGTCCTTCCCCCAGCTGCTCTTCTCTATATAACCCAACCATTTTGGTCACCTAGTTCTTTGGGCCTCCTGGCTGGTGTGCTTGGTCTTCCCCCCTCCCCTCTCCCTCCGCTCCTCGTTTGTTCAAATGGTCTCCTTGTGTGCTATCATGGCTCAGGTGTGTGAATACACACACACACACACACACACACACACTACCTCTCATACATTAGGATAACTAGATGAACTGTTATGTTCGCTGTGGTGAATCTGGGTTAAAGTATAACGAGCTAAAATAAACACTTTAATCTTCTGCAGAAGTTTGGGATAAATGCCTCATTGTGATGCTAAGCCCTAATATTACTATTCTCATGTTAAGGATTCATGAACCCTCATTTTATGGAACCTCTTATTTTCAATTAACAATATCCTATCAACTAACCAAAATACATTTATGATTATAATAAAACCTGAAACCACTGCTAAGTGGTTATGATTTAGTAGGATTAACTATGATTTAGTCTTAGAGGAGCAGTTAAAGATAGGACTCAGGTAGAATCCACAGACCCCTGAAAAATAATTGCTGGAGTATACAATCTTTAATAATAAAATAATAAATAATAATAATAATAATACAAAGTGAAGAAATGGCTTCATGGGCAAACACTTATAACAAAGTCATTAAAATCTGAGTTTACATCTCGGAGCCCACATAAAGCCTGCAGCCGTTGCAAGCTTCTGAAATCTCAACACTCTTATAGAAATCTTGGAGGCTGGAAAAAGAGTCTCCAGAAACTTGCCACCCATCCAGCCTGAGATACATAGTGGTGAACTGAAAAAGGCCTTCTCTCAAGTGATGGGAAGGTGGGGGCTGACACCTGAGGCTGTCATTCATCCTTCACACACACATTGGGACATGAGTGTGTATGTCTGTACTCACACACAAATATCCATTCACACGTGTACATACACACAAAGGTTTATTTTTTAATTAAGAATAAGATTTGAAAATCAAAACTTTGTAGGGCTAAGGGGCCACTAACATTTTGAATGTAGAACTTTATCAACAGTGACAAGTCCCTGCAAAGTTACCAACCCCAAACACATAAACAGGACAAAAGAAGAGACTGAGAATTATCTTATTTTTAACTTTATTTTTATTGTTGACACTATTACAAGATAGAACAACTACAACCATATTAACAAACCAAAAGCCTGTGCACAGAAACAAGACAAAGAAAACAAATTGAGATGTTAACACAGTCTTTGGGTAATGAAAATATGGGTGAGTTTCTCTTCTGCATTTCCACATCTTCAAGGCTACTAGGATGGTCACATACTGCAGATATAAGCAATAAAGGCAGCCTACTAGAACACTATGATCAAGACCCCTCAAAGAAACTGAGAAAACACACTTCACTGTAATCCTGCCGCAGCTGCCCTGCTAGTCCACACTTTTCCACATTTCCTCCTGCTGCTGACACTACATACTTATCATGGACAACCTCACAATCGCACCCATGGTGCACAGATCCAGGTGTTACCAAAAGTCTGTTGGAAATACAGTTTTTCTCTACTTCACTTCACTTTCCCAGTTTTCTTTGAGTATGCCTTTTATTTGTGATGCAGAGTACACACGTAAAGTTTGTTACCCAAACACTGAAGATTATTCAAGAAATTTTGAACAAAATATTTAACCATGAACCCCCCCAAAAAACACTATTTTTAATTGTTTCCCACATTTCTTTTTGTTTTAGACATTACGCAAATCTATTTAACACTGTTTTAATCACAAATTTGTGCAATGGCATGAAATGAAGGACACAGATGAAGATCTTAACAGTTGTTGGGTATGGGGAATGTGGGTGGATTTTTCTTTTCAATTTTACCATATTTTCCAATTTTCATCAGGTACATAGTATGTTTATGATGGTGACATTACATACTAAACTTTATTATCAGGCAATGATTACAAGGAGCATAGTGAAAACTTCAAAGTATTTTTACCATAATTACACAGGAAATACTAGAACAACTATCTTGAATACACGTTTTGACACAGTTGTAATATATAAACCTGTGCACAGCAACAAGAATAAACAAGATATTAAAGAGTATATCTATCTTTGGATGGTGGGGACATGGATTTTCTTTCCTCCACTTTTCTGTTATTTCCCAAGTGTTTCATAATGAGTTCCAATTATGTTCACGATGGAAATATGATCCTTAACTTTTGAATAACACTACCATAAAGAACATTCTAGAAATTTAAGAAAATAATGCTCAACTATAAGCCTACAACAACACAATAGCTTTTGACTATAAGCGTACATTTTAAAACAGTTATAAGTGTAGTACAAATATAATTTTGTGTCCTGCTCTTTCCACCTCATACTCTGTAAATATCTGTTTCACAACTCTTTGTGGTTATCACTTTTCAACAACTGCATAAGAATCCAGGGGCACTTTGACTAAATTATTCTTTCATAGTCTGGCATTTCAATCGTTCCTGATCTACTCACTTGGTTACAGGTAGAATGAACACTCAACTCAGACTTCTTGATGTGTCACTTTCTGAAAAGGGTCTAGTGGGGGTGACACTGTCACTGATACCCACATTTACCCAGATGGCTAGGGCACTGACTTCTATTTCAAGGGTGCCTCACCAATGAATCATTGCCCCTCTGTTTCCCTAGATGTCAATTCCAACCAGGGGCTCTCTTTATGCAGCTAGCTTTCACCTACACGATTCCATCAAAAAGGCCTTTCTTCCAATTATCCAGGACACTTCTTTCCAATTTGTTTTTACCACCCTGACCTTCCAATCCCTGCTGCTGGTGTCTTCTTTAGTCTGTCTCACTCCTTCCTAGATCTGCTGGCATCTTGGAACTCCCTTCTTTGGCTCACTCATTTCTATTTCTTGCTTTTAGGACTCCAACCTCCAAAGGCTTTGGCATTCACTGAGGCTTTGACACACTCCCTCATGAGTCCTGGACCTACAGATCTAGAAGACTAAGAGTCAGACTGCTTTCCCCAGCAGGTAAATAAACTCTGTTCACGTTCTCACATGATCTGTACATAGCTTGCGATCTTTCGGCTACAGATCTGCTTTATTTTTTTTAATTTTTTTAATTTTTAAATTTTTTTTTCCCCAGCCAACTGAAGGCCAAAAAATTGTCTTTATATAGCCATGAGAGGGAAGGGGAAGTAAAGGAGCGCAAGCAGTCCATGAAAGGACGCAGAAAATCTCAAGCTGGGAAGTCAGTTTGTGACATCTGGTTACATTAAGACAGATGGGACACTAAATGGAAAGCTCAGAAATACTAAGGAGATTCAATGAGAAAGAACAATGGTAACAAAAAAAATTAAGGCTGCTGGGGAACCTGAGTCCATGTTAAGCTAGGATTAACTATAAAGAAAGCTTTGTGTGTGTGTGTGTGTGTTTGCTTTTTTTTTAAAATGCAATAGACATGGGGTTGACAGACACATAAAGAACAGGGAATTAAGTTTGGAGATACAAAGATCTAAGGACACTAGCTCCTGGGCACCCAGGGAGCACACTGACTTGTGGCAAGCACAATACAACAAACACCACACAGGTGACTCAAGCGACGCTGCCACTTGTCACTTAAGGCAGGAAGCACACAGCAGTTAATGAAAGGTTGTCAGTCTGCTTCCTTATTTACAATGTAAGAGCCTCTCCTGTGGTTCCCAACCTTTCATTAGGCACTACTGTGATCTAGTGATGGTTGTCACCCACTCTTTAAAGGCAAAGACATTGAGATTTACAAGGAAAAGCTTCAGGTTTCATGAATTCACTATCAAACACACGATGAGTTGGTTAGAAAACGAAAAACCCAAACCTTAAAGAAAACCTCAAATGTAACTCTTTTTTGCATGAAAACCACTGTAAGGTATATAAATGTAGGGATGGGTTGATTTAGGTCACAGAGACAAATCCATATATTGTAAAGGGTTACACAATCAGTCTCAAGGGGGCTGGGTGCACACCAAGTGGCTGTAGAAGCTAAAATGTCTGTTTTCACACAGCCAGGATTCAAAGACACACGATCGTTCACACCCACACCTTCACAGGACTATCTAAGAGGTAGGGGACGGAATAGTCCATTACTGGAAAGGATACTAATGGGGTTCAAACAATGCACAGTAAAGCTTCCGCAGGATGGACAACATTTACAAATATATGCTAAATTGTTGCTCTCTTCCTCCTCAGGAAAAAAAAAAATCAGAGTACCAGGCTAGGTAGCTCTGTAGAGTAAACTGTAAATTCTATAGCACACTAAATCCAAATATATGTATCACTGATTTTGCTGTGATTTGCTCAATTATATACACGGCAGGAATCATTATGTATAGGGTATGAAAGGGGTATCATTTACAGTCGATTGGGGTAACCTCTGTGGTCTTGAAGAGTCACTAGGTATTCCCTCAATCTAGGTAAGATGAAGTGGTAGATGTATGCTCTAGCTTTCCACTGACATTTGATACGGAACAGCTAAGACTGAAAGAGTCTCTGTGTTCAATCTTTTCTCTTTTTTCAGTCTGAGTGAAAGTCTATGATGTGAAGTCCAGTATGTAGACAATGAGGTGAATTTCTTATTAACATTATGGGTTGGTTTAGGCTCTCTCTGTGATTTATTAAGGGTCTGGTTCTGGGAGGAAGGTTTGGCTTCGTTCTTTTTTTTTCCTCAGTCTGGATACTCAACCAGTGTGAGAATTCTGGTGTCTGGCAAGGGAGAGGCGGTCGTTGAAGAGTTGCCCGCACACGTCGCATTTGAAGTACTTGTCATCGGCCTGCTCCGCACCACCTGCGCTGGTGCTGGCCGGTTCGATGTAGCCCGAGCACTCTCCGAGAGCATTGGCAGGCTCGAAGATGATCACGCTGGCGTGGCTTTTCAGATGCTCACCGAAGGCTGCGCTGGAAGCAAAAGTTTCTGTGCATTCATGGCAGTTGTAGTACGGTTCTTCAACCTCAATCTCTTGATCTTCTCCTTCCTCTTCTGGGTCTTCAATGTCGGCACCGTTGGGCTCATCTGCATCTCCCTCTGGCTCTTCAACATCTTCCTCTGGCTCATCGGCTCTCTCTTCTGGGTCTTCGATTCCAGCACCGTCTGGCTCATCAGCATCACCGTTTGGCTGTTCAGCTTCCCCATTGGGTTGCTCAGCCTCTCCATCAGGCTCAGCAGCTTCTCCATCTGGCCCTTCAGCCTCTCCATTAGGCTCTGCAGCCTCCACCTCAGGCTCCGCAGCCTCCACCTCGGGCTCCGCAGCCTCCACTTCCGGCTCAGCAGCTTCTGCATTTGATCCCTGGATTCGCAGTACTTCTTGTGGAATGAGGACATTGGCTTCGACCTCTTGGGCAGTGGCAGCTACTATTTCTGACCCCCCTTCTCGCTCAGGATGAAACACCATGCGCTCAGCGACGACGGTGTCGTCTAGGAAGGACTGCCCGCAATCTTTGCATTCATACAGTGGGATGTGCTTCCTGAGGGGCTCGGTGAGAAAGGAGGCATGGGTGTAGGAGGGCCCATATTCATAGGGCTCATCCTTATGAACTTTGGTGTGGTGGTCTCCGAGCTGTTTGGCAGTGAAGAAGCATTCCCCACAGATTGTGCATTCGAAAAGCTTCTCTTCAGTTTCACTTCCCTGATACTCAGTGAGGGCTAGGCCTTGAATGAAAATCTCGTCTGCCAGTTCGCTCTGTTCCATTATTTCATTATCTCTGTGCTGTCTCATGTGCTCATTTAGGGCAGAACTGTGAATGAAGCCTTGTCCACACTGACGGCATCGAATGGCTGAGCCAGAAACGGCAGGATTCCTCTCTACAGTACAATTCCTCCTCGGTCTTGCAGGCAGCAGAGCGATAAAACCGTCATCACTGGCCTTTGCGGAACATGGCTGGTCTTGTTCGTGGACTCTCTGGTGCTCGAAAAGTAATGAGCTCTGAGTGAAAGATTCTCCACATTTTGGACATTCATACAGTTTCTCTCCTGAGTATTTTTTCTCAAATTCACTGACAGAGTGGACATGAACTTCAGAATGTGTGTACTCACGACTGTCAACCAGAGCCTTTCTGCTATGGACGTCCTGGTGGCTTGTGAGGTCATTGAGGTCAGCAAAGCCCAGCCCACAGTCCTGGCACTCATAGATTGCATCACCTGCATCTTCTTTCTTATGCTCTTCAGAAACTGAGGCCTGAGCGGTAGCATCTTCAGCTTTCTCCTGGCCATGGGACTCTTCACCATGGGGCTCATCGCCATGAGACTCTTCACCGTGGGGCTCTTCACTGCTCATCTCCTGATCAATAGGTTCCTTGTCATGGGGCTCATTGCCATGGGGCTCATCGCCATGGGGCTCTTCACTGCGCATCTCCTGGTCAAGGGGCTCTTTGTCCTGGGGCTCATCGCCATGTGGCTCCTTGCCACTGGGCTCCTTACCGTATGGCTCTTTGTCATGAATTATTTGACCGTGTGTTTGTTTATCATGGGGCTCCTCGGCATTTGATTTCTCTTGGGCATAGATTTTCTGTACACTGAGGTTGCTGCTGGTGGTAGCAGAGCGTTGTCCAAATGCTCTGAGTTTCCGCACTTGTTCTTGAATGAACCGTTCTTGGGCATAGCTGGTCTGCGGGTCACTGGGGGCAAAGCTGCGGATGGCAGAGCGCTCATAATGTCGGCTTCCAGAAGGTCTCTCCCTATCATGAATCTTCTGGTGCTCAATAAGGTCAGACCTACGAGCAAAGGCCTCCCCGCATTCCTGACACTCAAAGAACTTTGCCCTACGGTGACCTGCAAGCAATTCACCAAAAGGTAGGGAGTGCATAACAGAGGGCTCGTTGTTCCTGGGCTCAATGTACTTCTTTTTGGCACGAGCTTTCTGGTGTTCACGAACACTTGAGCTGGGAACTGAAAATGTGGCATCCTGCTTTGGTTCACGGGACTCTCCAGAAAAACTCGGAGGCTCGGCACGGGATGTACTCGGTGTGTGGTAGCTGTTGCTGCAACTTGCTTCATAACTGTCTTCTCTGGCAGGAATCTTTCTTCGCTTATTAATGATATCTGGGAGATAAATGGAGGATTCTCCCTGCTCATCACACTGAATCTGATCAATTGCTCTATGACGTTTCAGAGGTCGAGGAGCGGGCAAGCTGTGCATGATGGAGTCCTTGTATTCCTTTCCTTCATAGGTATTCCCTCCAGAGTAGGCTCTGGGGTAGTTAATGCTGCTTGAGCTCTGGGTGCTAGACTCTGCCACTGGTCTTGGTTTACTGAACCCCATTGCACCACGACTCTTCTGAGCTTCTGCGGAGCCCAAGCTGTGAGTAACAGCCCTCTCGTAGGATTTGCCCTGGGAGCCATTTTCCATGGTGGGGAATTTCAGCTTGTCATTAGGGTTAACACTGATGGTGAACGGCTTGTCGTCATCGTCATCTTTGTTTTCAGGTGGTCTTGTGATAGTATGACTCTTCTGAGATTCGACAAAGGGTTTCTCGAATCCTCTGCCTTCAAAGAAATTCTTCCGGGCACGATTTTTCTGATGCTCGCTGGGATCTGAGCCTCCCATCAAGGCGTCTCTGGCATTGTTCAAGTCGAACAGATTCTCTCTGTAACTTCTCTGGCGTCGTCTGAAAGCCTGACTAGGGACAAAGGTCTCCTCGCACATCCTGCTCTTATTTTCAAATGGGTTTCCTCTAGTATGGATTTTCTGATGCTCCCTCAGAGACGTGAGATGAATAAAGCTCTCCCCGCACACTTTACACTCATAGATTCTCTCTTTCCTGTACATCTTCCGAAACTCATTGAAGTTGGGACAGGTCAGAAAGGGTTCCGCATGCTCCCGTTCACGCTCCCGTTCACGTTCGCGCTCACGCTGCTCCCGTGCACGTGCACGCAGGCGATCGCGTTCGCGCTCACGCTCGTTATCTCTGTCATCTGAGTTGCCTCTACCGTGGATTTTCTGGTGCTCAATCAGGGCGGAACTGTGCAGAAAGGTCTCCTTGCACACCTTGCACTCATAGAACTTATCTTTGCCATACATCTTCTGCAGCTCACTAAAGGTCGGGCTAGGCATGACGGTCTCCTCATCATCCTGATCTCTACATTCTGCGAGATACTCTCTAGCATGGATTTGGCGGTGCTCTGCCAGGGCGGCACTCCTACTGAAGGTTTCTCCACATTCCTTACACTCAAAGCGTTTCCCCCCACCCTGACCTTTTTGCACCTCATTGACAGCCACGCTGTGAATAAAGGACTCTCCATATTCGTAGAGGTTCTCCCTAGTGTGCATGATCTGGTGCTCAACAAACTCAGAGATGACACTGAACTGCCTCCCACACTCATCACACACGTAGGGGTTCGCCCCCAAATCAGCTGACTGCGACTCAGAGAAGGAAGGGTTGTTCAGGTTGCCCATGCTCATAGCCTGCCTCATCTCACTACCACACTCAAAAGGCCTCTTCCTCACACAGCTTTTATGCTCGTGACCTGAACCCCTCTCATCAGAATCAAAGTGGTAACGCCTCTTCCTTTCTAGAGCTCTGCTTCTGGAAGGCAATTCTGCGTTGAGCCGGAAGCCTCCCCTAAATGCGCCCCCTTCATAACCTCTCCCCTGGATCATGGACTCTCTTCTGCTTGAGGAACTATCATTCCAGTTATCATTAGGCCTGGGGAACCTCGGAGGAGGACGCTCATTCAGCTCCCTTGCTCTTCCGGATCTGGGGTTGCGTGACACGTCCTTGATGAATTTTTCCATTATCACTCCATGAGAAGACTCGTCCTCGCAGATTCCACGCCTATGGGATGGCTTTTTGGCTTCAGGCATGGGTTTCGGACCTGGAAAGAAACCCCCATATGTAATTCTTCCCTAGCCTCTAAGCTCAGGATGGCATTTTCCTGTGGTGTTTATGAATGTGAAATGTGGAAGTTTCTCCATGTGGGATCGGCATGTCACTCACCTCGGCTGGTGCTTGGGTAGGCAGTCCTCTTGGACCTTGATGAGTGGCCTTGTGTCATGTGAGAGTGTCGGTCATCTTCGGCAAGCTGGACTCCTGGTTATAAGAACAAAATGGCCGTTTAAAATGAAGACTGAGACTCATCACCATCAATTGATCTGTTACCCCACCCACAGTAAATTGAAATTGTCTCATATTCAAATCTTGGAATGTCTTTTATTTTCTTCACGTTCATTTTTCTAACCTGATATAATCTACATCTTGATTCCCTTAATCATACCTACAGAATGGTATGAAGACTCCGTATGTGCACGCATTCAGAGTACCTTCTTGTAGTCTACCACCAGTTCACACCTTCTGAGAGACTCCATTCTTTCTTGAGGGTCTCACTATGTAGGTAGCCCAGACTGGCCTCAACTGGTGAGCCTCCTGTTCTAGCATGGAGCACTGGGGTTTCAGGCATGAGCCACTATGCTCCTACCCCTACTTCTCAATGATCTTTCTCAACCTACCTACCATCCAGCACTATATATCCCTTGGTTTTATGAGTTTTTGCAGCAACTGCCTACTACCACTTCTAGGCTATCTGCTCCTGGAGGAGTCCACATGTGGACCTGAGGTCATATAGGAAAGCTCTATGACAAAAGTCATCAGCCTCAATCCATACAGTATATTCTTCAACCAAAGCCAGATGGATTTCTTTAAAACTCAAACCTCATTTCCCCACAGAGGAGTAAGTTTGCCAAAGCACCTTTAAGTCTGAAGCCTTTAAATATACCAACATGGACTCAAACAACTTGAGACAAATAAGGTAACAAAAGGCTCCACTGGTGGGATTGAAAGTGGTCAAGGGAAGTAGGCCCTTACCCAGAGAGAGCAGCTTTCTGTAGTTCTCCAGGTTGTCCTGAATTGGATTCTGAGGCTTCTTGTCCTCTTTGAGTTCCACAACATTCTGGTATGACTCGGCATCCTAAAACATCAAACACAGGCCTCTCAATGGAATCTGTCCCCGTGGACGTTCAAAGAGAGAATAATGCTGGCGACATGGGAGCTACGTATATGAAGTTATATAGGAAGTGCTCACGGTATTTGGGGTTCTGAGCGATCCAAGGCAAGTGTTACTAGGGGCCTACATCGTACCTACCTTGTGCTACACTCTGAGGCAGATCCCAAAGACGCATGACACATATTCCTTGCCCTCATGCAGCTTATAATTTGGTTGGAGAGAAAAGACTCATGAAACAATTAGAGAACAATAAACAGTAAATTGGGATACAGATAATAAATGCTACATGGGTTTCTTGGAGGGACAGTTCAGGGTGGGCCTGAACAGTGAGCAAAGGTTTTACGGAAGGCCTCTTGTGGGGCCTGAAGTGGTAGGTGAAATTACGGTTATGTGCGGAGGGGCCTGGTGGGAAAGCCCATGCAGGCTAAATAATCAGCATGCATGCTGTACTCATGGGAGCAGAAAGAAAATGTGCTCTAGCAGACATCTTGTTAGACTCTGTGGTTTTTAAGTTCCCTTCCTATTTCTCTATTGCATAGTGTGGCTACAGTGCAGTTTCCAGTGTATATGGTTTCCAAATAACTCAACACACCAGAAGCTCTCAACTACTGAAGAACTACCTTTTATCTTAATAGATATTTCTCTCAAAAAGAAGTACAAAATTTCCTGTAATATTTAGAACCTGAGTCTTCTCTGCAGGATCCTAAAGGACATTTGCTTGCTACCAGAAGGCAGTACTAGAGTTTGACTGGCTTGCTGAGCTACAATGTCAGAGTTGATGGCATTGAGGCCTGAAGGGATACTGGAGTATGGAGAGGGTGCTGTGGGAGTCTATAGGCTTTGGAGCTGGGGAGAACTGTAGGGTCAGAAGCAGACCACGCCACTTATAAGCTGTGAGACCTTAGATATGGAAATCTTTCAGAGCCTCGGATTCTTCATTGTAAAATGGTGAGAACTTGCAATATTGTGACATAGTGGGTGAAGATTCTGTAGTGTGATTATTGTTTGAATTTAAGAAAAATTGGGCAGAGGAAGCATTAATGTTTTGATATTAAATTTATTATTGTTCTATACCTGGAAAGGGACTTGAATTTTAATAGGAACATGGGAAACACAGAAAAACAAACAAAAAAACCAAGCATCAGAGCTGAAGAAGAAAACTTCATCTATGCAAATTCCCATGTCCAGTCATTAAGCAACAAACAACAAGTAACAACAAAAATTAGGGCAAAGAAATGAAGCAAAACTTCACTTTCTCAGTTAATGCTGAAAATTAGGACAAAAAAAAAGAAAAAACAAAAATAAAAACAACAACAACAAAAAACCTCCAAGAAAATACAGGAAGAGTTGCAACCTTCACAAAAGTACCACCCCAGATTTGTAAGTGCATTCTTGTTGGTTGTCTCTACTCTTTCTATATGGTAAACCCCTTCTAGGTAAGTGTTCTGTGCTACTCAGGTTTGTGGGGAGCCTTGGCATTTACTTACAATAAAAGATAGTGCCAGAGGGTACCCAGATGTCCCTAAGATAACACAGGAAACCAGAGCTCATATTGTGGAGACTGGTAGAGAGCAAAGGACTTAAGAGTTTGGGAGTGCAAGAGGCAAAGGTGTCACCATTCCTGGGGTACACAGATCCCAATGGCAATGGCAGATGTATTATTTTTAATATTTATTTATTTATTGTCTAATTTGCATAAAGTCTGAACAACATTGCTTCTATAAAACAATATTGTGCGTTTGTATAAAGATAAGTGAATTTAAGTAGCTTTAAAGCAGTTGCTGGCTCTATGTTTACCATCAACTGTTAATACCTAAAGGTACATGAGCTGCAAACAAGTTTGAGTGGAAGGGGTGGCCTGAGAGTCATGCTAACATGACACAGTTCAGGTTTTCACACCATGAGCTATACACTCGAACCACTATGGGATTTGCATGTGATTAAAGAGACAGCAAGAGAACTTTCTGTTTTGCACAGCCTCAAAATGTAATTTGTACCATCTAGTGCCCTCGTTTCTACTCTGAGTCAGTAGGGATCAGCAGCATCTAGACGTTTGCATTATGCAGACATGGCCCTTGGTCAGCAACTCATGACACGTTGTAAAGGAAGAGATTGTGAGCAACAAAACTAGGTGAAGTTCATACCACCAGTCCAGCTCTGTGTGCCTTAGCCATCTTCCTGGTTCTTCTTTGGTTTGCCAGATGTCTGGCTTCTACTTAGAAAGCTTTCACCTGTACTCACCCTAAAGGCTGGGATGCCCTCCAACCTCGGGCCTGGACCATTCCTCCCCAACCCTCAGAGGTCAAGGGTTGCCCTGAAGGCATTTTCCTTTGATCCAAATTGAGACTGCATGCTGTAATTTTTGCTAGTGTTCTGTTTCTTTGAGAATGTTCAGAACATTCATCAGACATACAGAGTATTTATATGAATATTTATATGGTCCACTGATAACAGCATCTCAGAGCAGGAATCCTGTTTGTCCTGGCCACAGCTATGTTTCCCAGGACATAGATGCTTAATTGCAAAGGAAATGAAGGCTCTGCCTCTGGCTCCAACTTCTCTTCTAAGGTCTGCTGGTTCCAACCTCTCTTCTAAGGTCTGTTGGTTCCAACCTTTCTTCTAAGGTCTGTTGGTTCCAACCTCTCTTCTAAGGTCTGTTGGAGATAAGGTTCTCCTTCTTCTCTTCCTCCCTCAAAAGCCAGTACAAATCCATTGTCCTCTCCCCTTTTACAAGCCACCCTACCACGTAGTGCCCCTCAACTAAGGACTGCTGTGATTGCTACCATAGTGTGCCTATCCCGGGCCAGACAACATAACAGGAACTCACAACACACACAGGTGTGTGACTCTCACTGACTGCTCACAGTGGAACTGGGAGACAATTGCTGCACCCATTTTTACTGATGAGGAAACTGAGGTTCGGCTTGGTTGAGTTGCACAATCCCACACAGCACTGTGGCAGAGCCAAGTTTTGTACCCCATTCTCATCAGCTCCAGAGCCTTTGTTCTCCCTGCCCAGTCGACTTTCTAGACTCACAACATTTCTGCTCCTGACTTAATGGGGGCCAGTAAAATGTCTAGAATCCCTCTGCCACTTGCCCTAGCTAGTGATTCACACACTGACGGGCAAGAACTCCTTTGGTTGTGTGGATCAGTTTAAATAGGCAATAGACCTTGGCCACTGGTCACCTGTGGGGATGGTCCCTGCCATCTTTTTAGAGTGAGCAAGGGCTCTCAGTCATAAGTGGACATCTAAGGACAGATGAATACATCCTCAGGGGAAAGACAGCTATCTTTGTTGTGAAATGAAGGTAGGTTTTCTGGAAAGAGAGGAAACCTGGGCATACCTGGGATCGAGACTCATAATCCATGGAACGTCTGTCATCATCTCTTTCCAGTCCAAAATGTGGTCTTGACATCACAGGAAGAGAAAGATCACGTTGAGGCAGTCCTAGGAAGGAAGAAAGGCATCAGGGTGCTGCAAGACCTAGTCCAACAGAGCAGGGTTCAAAAATCCCCTGTCAGAAGCTACCTGGGAAATGAGTGTGGAAAAAAAAAATGTGTCCATTCTCTCTGCTTTCTATAGAAGGGCCCTGCAATACCCCAGGCCCTGCCTCATCCTTCCTCCCTAATCTTAGAGCCAGGGCCACGCCACAAGTTGTGTGGGTCCAGGTATGTTGTCTGTACTCTCGTTCTCAGCCACTGACTCTCTTCGGCGTCCTCATCCAAGATCAGAGATAAAGCCCAGAGGACTTGAAGTCCACTGTAGGTTCCTGTTGTGATATAGAAATGCCTTGACTAATCTACTCTCCTCAGGTACCAAAGGTACCATAAACTAATGGTGAATGTGACAGACTTGAAAATCTTTTCCTCATTACACTTTTAGGATGCCCTGCTGATAAATACAGTATCTCTCAAGTCCAGGAGGATCAAGAGATATGTTCTGGTGGCATGAATACCAATAATGCATTGAGATGGTCCTTACTGGGAGTCTAATTCTCTTTTAGTCAATAAAAAGACTTAAGTAGGGCACTCTGGCTTAGAGTCTCCCCACACTTGCACGAAACCATGATGGGTAACATATATTTGTTTTTCATGATCATGCCTCTGTCTGTAGTATTTTTGTCATTTTTGTAACAGCCACAGTATGTTTTATTTAAAACAATATATATCTGCTTAGGAAGAATGTTGCATAAGCAACAGCATTGGCTGAAATATGCTTGTGGCACAAAATGGCTCTGCTGAGAGGAAATTCAGATGCTAGAGCCTGGGACTAAACACTTTAGCAACAGGAATACGACCCAAGTCGAGCATTAGGGCCTCCCAAGGCCCCTATGCACATAGCCTCTGCCCTGAGCTACAGGCCAGCAGACAACTTACTGCTCCTGGGATTCCTGATGTATGGCCAGCGGTCTCGAGGCTCCACATCTCTGCTTCTGCCTCTGCGTTCCAGCTCTCGCTCACCTAGGCAGGTCAGGTTTTTGAGTGGTCAGATGTGCTTTGACATGTTTCCTTTGTGTATGCACACATGCCTCCCTTAATGATGGATCCAAAATAGAAAGTTCTAGACTCCCAGACTCAGTAGCTACCATGAAGCTTTTCCCAAGAAGGGCTTGCTTTACAGCAAGGACCCAAGCTAAGTCTGTAAGCTAGTTCCACTTCAGACCTCCCAGTGGTTTTCTCAGCTGCTAAGTTCTCAAGTCCAAATTCAGGAAAGGGACCACAGACCTTCTATGTCTAGCACAGGCCAGTTGACTTTATATTGCAAAGCATTCTATTGTAAAGAGAAAGCAGAACACATGTCCAACCTACAAACAATTCTGCTAGCACGGCCTGAAATAGATACTAAATAGTATAAATATTTTGTTGTTTAAAAACCCCTGTATGCCATTCCATTGTTGGTGTCTGTTTTGATATGAAAATGTCTCAGTTAATCTACTCTGCCTGGGACTATATGATTCTGAATACTCTGGGGCTATTGTCTCAATGGAGGCCTTGGTGCCTCTGCTCCGCTTTATAATGTGGCATTGGTGGGTGTGGTACTCACTGCCGAAAGAATGCGATGGTCGAGGGGGTGGGGTTTCCCTCCCACTTCGGCTCATGTCGTCGTCACTGTTCATGTCACTGTTGGTGTCGTCTGAGAAGACACCAGACAGGAACTTAGTGTTTTGGTGTAGCTGGCCTATGCTCTCACACACAGCCAACCTCTCCCTAGCAGTTTCAATGGCCAGGTCTTTCATGCCTCATCTCAGCCCCCTTTAGTAGATTCAATTTACTCCTGCTACTTAAAGACTGCATAAGGAACATGGCTGTAACCATCTCTTCTCCACCCCCACACAAAAGCAGCCAACAGGCCACTTCCTGAGGTACCATACCATGACGGTAATGGGAGGTTCTCTCCCTGATGACTTCCTACTATAGGATGTCTACTTGACTTCTGCCGGCCCAGTGGTAGTGCTTAGCTGGGGATTGTCTACCAAGAGTCATTTGGCCACTTGAATATGGAGACATTAGGAGGTCAAATCTAGTGGGAGGCCATAGATGTGCCTAGGTTGGCCCTATTTCCTTGTCCCACAAGAGAGAAAAACCAGACCAGTCACTGGCAGTTCCAAGACATAATGCTAGCAACTACTGTCTAAGCCAACTAACAGTGTCCTCTGTAGTGCCTCACCTTCGTGATGGTACATCTTGGAACTCGCCAACGGAGTGGTGAGTTTTTCACAGTTGTCTGTTTTGCTCACACCCAAGGGCTTGAGCCTTTCAGGGATGGTCAGCTGATCTCCCCTTGCTGGGAGGGTCTGCCTGCAATCAATCAAGGCAGAATTTTTAGAGTCTGAGCAGGGTTTTCTGAGGCCCAACAAATTCCACATATGTTAAGTTTAAAAACATCTGATGAAAGAATTCAGACCAGCTGGGTCGTCTCCCAGGATGGCATCTAGTCATGGCACTCTCTAGCTCACACAGAATGTCTTGGTGGTAGACAAGTGATTTCGAGTCAGCACTTCTCAAATTAAAAGGTCTTATTTGGAGGAACTGAACACACAAGTCAACAGAAAGACTGTGGCAGCCTATGATAGCACTCATGGACCTGGATATTAAAAGGAGCTTATGTGCACATCACAGAAGTTGAAGGGTGGTCTGCCCAGTGCTTTGGAATAAGAATTTACCCAGAAGTACATTTAAGGAGTGAGTTCTCATGCTAACTGGTTGTGTTACAGTGGCCAGTTCCTCTATTCTCTTGGACTCTGACATCTGTGAAATGGGAACAGTACCTACAGTCCTTTTAGACCTTATATTGAATAAGCTAAGATTCCTAAGAAGTTTGACTTGCCAATGCAAAGCCCAGGGAACATGCTCAAGGGCCCAGCCAAGACTAAGACTGGATATTAGTGTTTCTCATTAGCCAAAATGTTAAAGGGGATAACATCAGAGATGGACCTGACCCTGCCAGTTCTACCCTTAATGTCCTTATTGCAGCACAATATATGACCTGCAAATAAATGGCTGTCCGAACAGAAATGTCAACAGTGCTCAAGTATGAGCACTGTAATGACAAATTATTACAGTTTCTCATTGTTAATATCTTTAGGACTGTGAGGCTATACCACATCCCCATTGACTGTGTGTGCTGGCTCAACTTAAAGGTAGTAAACCCAGCCTCTCATTTACACTAGTACATTTCAAGTGCCAAGAAGGTACAAGTGGTTGGTGGCTCCCAGCTAGACAGTGATAAAGAATTCTGTTTTCTATCAGTTCACCTAAGTGTACAGAGAGGCCAAAACTTTTTTCTCCATAGTACATAACCTTCTAAGGGGTATCCATCCCAAAACTTGGTCCTTTTGGAGTTGGAGTCAATATCATTTCCTTAGGTACCTTCCAAGATATGTCCAAATATGTATCATGATTATTCTTAACTAATTTGGCTTATTTGCTTATGTTCCAGCAGTAAATTGGTAACCTAAGTGAAAGAGAGTTTTTGTGTTCTCTGTATTTAATCCCTAATCTCTTGCTATCTGATACAAAGCCAGCTAGTGACATACAAGTGGCATATTGAATTTAGTGTATGTAAAGCCACTTATGTGGCTATGTGTAAATGTTATCAGTAATGCTGATGAGACCAACATAGCTCATCATAAGAAGCATGCTAACTTCTGTGCTAAAAACTGGCATTGCTGTTCACAGGAAATTCAAGACTCTGGTAAACATATATGATCTTTGTTTAATATGCTCAAGATTATTTAACCAGGTCAATAGGCTAGTATTTGAAAAACAAGAGCAAGGATGAACAAAAGACTTATGTTTATGTCTATGTGTGTGTTTGTTGTGTGTGTTCTCGGCAATAGACAAGATATAATCTATCCAGCAGTGAATTATTATATAGCCTTCAAAGAGCAAGGCAACCCTAAGTAAATGGGTGTAAGATGGTCTCTAATACACTGAAATGATGAGACATTTCAACGTTTAATAGCATCAAATGAAAGACTAAGGCTGAGAAGGAACTCTATCCCAGACTATCTCAGAAAGGCCACCAATACAAATGTCTAAGTTTGTGGGTTCCAGATGTAATTGGAGGGAGGGGGTGGGGCAGTTGATAAGATAAAAAGTCAATGTATCTGTGTATGAAATTTTCAAAAAATAAATAAAACATATTCTTCTTTTTAAAAGGTACCGGATCAGAGATACTGGCTCTAACAGAATTCTGAAGTACCCATACAGGAACTCTACCACAGTTCCCCAGGGCAAGGGCTCATTTGTCTTTCCCATTATTGTATTTCTATAGCAAATCTGTCCTATTCGAAAATGCACAAATATTTAATAATATTTAATAATTTAATAACAGTCTAGCAAAATATTAAAAATTATCGATATCCATGAAGGGCTACCCTACTAATTCAAGGATGCTGCTTTTTTAGAGTAAACTTTATACACGATGAATTAAAAGGAAGTCTGGGAGCCTATAGGCATCATTCCATGTTTTAAAGAGCTTGCAAACTTCCACTGCCTTTTGCTTTGTAAACTCATAGCAAAAACCAAGACTAGGAGATTTTTTTCACACAATAAAGATCTACCACAAATAGATACAAGCAAATAGATTATTAGATACCAGGATGTTCCTCCAGAAGTGGGGAGGAAGGTATTCCTTCTACCACAAACACCATTCCATATTATCTTGGAGCCCTGACTAATGCAGCTAAAGGAAAAGAACAGGTAAATGCTGTATTATTTTGGATATAATATATTATATTGTATTATTTTGAACTAAAAAAAAAAACCTTACCTGTAAATATAGCAATAGAAAAAAAATCCCATTAACAGCAAAATTAATTAAGTTCCCATAGCTATGCTTTACAAGAGACCTACAAATCTAAATAAATATTTAAAAATGTATATAGAGGCACAAAACATATTCTAAGTAAATTAAGAACATACACTTTCACACATTCACATATATACTTCTCTCTGTCTCTGTCTCTCTGTCTCTCTCTCTCTCCTCCCCCCAACCCCCGACTGTCTTGCATGTCCACGTGCTCGGAAAGATGGGGACTATTTGCCTGTAATATTATCCTGATGTTTGAAAACATGTTCTGTTCAACACAAGGAACACAAGGAAGTCCAAATATGCACTTATGTGGCAGTACATTCACATACGAGAGCTTAATTTACTGTTAGAGGAAGAGTTTTTAAATAAGAAAAAACCTGATTATTTAAATGCAGAATCTTCTTAGGACTAAATAAAAGGTTAACTGCAACAAAAGAGACAAGATGGGACAGCCATCACGTTAGTGTTGTTTCTGCTTCTCAAGCACTTGTTCCAAGGTTAGATAGCCTTTTTACCTTAACGGAAACCAATGCTAAGTCATATCTCCTTAAAAAAACTATATATTTCAGTTACACCTCCCCAAAGAGCAAGCCACTAAAGCCCAGTGACAAGCATAATCTGACCTAACTTAAATCAGTGCACTCAGAAGAGAACTTGAGTTCATTAATAACCAGAAGTGAGAACAAAGTCTTTTTAATGTGTGGTAACCCAGCCAGTGAGTCACATTCTTAATATTACAGATATAATATGTTCAAGTAGTACAAAATACTATAGAAACCACAAGCCATACCCGCTGGTTAAATTTACCATTATTATTAAAGCTTTTATTTTCATTTTTATTTATTTTAAATTTTCACAATATTATTACATATGCATATGTGTAGTGTATGTGTACATGTTCATGCATGTGCATACAGAGGCCAGAGGTTGACTTTGTATGTTTTCCTCTAATACTTTCCACTTTACTATTTGAGACAGTCTTTCACTGAATCTGGCCATTTTATTTTTGCAAGGCTCTATGACCACTGAGCCCTAAGGACCTACCCTTCCCAGTACCTCACTATATAGGCTACCACACCCAGTTTTTACATGGGTGCTGGGGATCTGAACCCATAACCTCTAACTTGCCAGCAAGCTATGTCCCAATCCCTACTAAACCTTTTAAAACTTAGACATGTGTTGTTCTTACTAAAAATACACTGACTTATGAGTATATAAAACAAAACAAGCCCCCCCCCAAATTTTTTTTTAAAAAGTCACTGCTGCTGCCCAGGAAACAGTTATAGATGAGGAGCTCAAGTTTGAAATGTCTGACAAATGATCTGATTTCATATGAAAATGACAAATGTGTGGTTACTTCAATGTATGGGAATATATATAAACTAGGCTACAAGAAAATGTTAGAATACATTCATGGTGACAGCTCATGAGAAGGAGAAACAAACAAAACAAAACAAAACAAAACAAAACAAAAAACAAAGAACAACGAACCAAAACCCAGGTTGATAAAAAAAAAAAAAGAAAAAAATTTTAACTTATATTTAGGATGTTATTTTAAAACTCGTAGTTAATCTTTGGGTCTGATTATTTAGGTGTGTGATTTTTTAAAAAATGCAACTTTTTAATAATAAAGTTCAAAATAAAAAATACTTTAAAAATTAGAAATAAATCTAGTGTTGTTATTTTTCCGTACATAGTTTATTCTGGCTTGTCAGCCCTCCTACAGCTCTGCTGGGGTCCCCATGACAAGGTCTCCTTCCTCACTAACATTTTTTTACCTCCCAAAGCCTACCTGTGACACCCTGCTGGTATTTACATTTGCTTCTCCAGTGTGTGCTCAAGGGTGCTCGCTACCAGGCACTGGATCCCTCACCAGACTCTTACTTCATCCTCTATACAGACCAAAACTGAATTCTGGCCCCATAGAAAACCTATTTCTTTTATTTATTAACTCTCCTATATCCCTGCCTTATATACTTCTCTTCTGCTTTTTCTTCATGCAGGAACCTTAGCATGAGTTGGATATTGGCCATGAGTACCTGGGTGGCTCACATGACTCTGAGCTAGGGAAGCTAAAGAGAGGAGCCAAATAATATGGGCTTATAATGAACCTACCCTTCCCATCCTGAAAGGGGATTCTGAAAGGTGTCTGGCTATCTTTTGAAGAGTCTGTTTATACACATGGAGACATGGAATAGCCTTTTGTAAGGAGAGTAAGTTTCACTTATGAGTCAGAACATAGGAGACCATAGGTCAGCAGCACTGTGTATTAGAGGACGGTATGGCCACTGTGGTCTTCATAGCAAAGCTGATGCCTATCTTTAAATATTTTATGATACTTTACTTTTATCTCACTTCAAAATGAGAGGAAGAGAGTGGGCAGGTAAGTTAGCATAATATAGAATAAGGATAGAGATCAGTAGGTATCTTTTACCCCAAATTGGGGTGGGTGGGACTTTTCCCTCAGAATAAGCATGGGTGAGCAATCTGATGAGCAGGAATACACATTAGGGGCTAAACAGTCTAGGACTGTGTGTGATGAGAGAGATCATGTGACCTCCTGGTCTTTGGTCTCAGGCTCCCACATTCCCAGCAGAGGAGAGATGAACTCCACCCCATCTCCTCCTACCCCATTTCCACTTACTTACTTTGTGCCCTCATCATGGCACACCTACGTTAAGCCCACTAACTCATTCTACCTACCTCCTTTAAAGGGGGCTGGAATTGAGAACTTTAAAGTCAGGAACCGAGGAGGTTACTCTCGTCATCTCTCAGGTGTGCAGTCTCTCCTCTCTTCTTGTTTGTTCCAGCCTCCTGCCTCTTTCTGCAGACCAGCATTCTCTACTTCAGTATGTTCATGGAGTCCAGTGTTGTCCCAGGCCCATGCCTAACCTCACCTCTGAGTTTAAGTGCCCTAACACTGACAGGGTCATCAGTCTGTGTCCCTTCACCCAAAATCTGACTCTAAAAAGTATATACTACAGCCTGATTTCTCAGAGTAGTTGGTCTCAAACTCACATGTGCTCAAGGGTCACCTGGGATACTTATAACAAAGGCAGATGCCTTTATTGTGGGACAACTTAAAAAGTGGAAGCTTCCCTAGGACTCGGGCATTTTAACTGGGACTCTAGGAACTTGACTCTGGTTACCTCCCTAACTTTAAGTATGTAACCTGGTCCACTCAAGGACAATTAAGGAATATATATGGGAAAGTGGGACTTTTTAGGGGGGTAGTAATCTTACATAGGAATGTGAGCAAGGAATGAATGACCTGTACCCTTCACACTCATGTCAAGGCCTCTGTTCTCTGGTCTAGTAGCTCTTTCAGGTCATCTTTATAACATCCTGGGCTTCTTCTACTCAGTATTAAAGTTAGCACTTACCACACTCCAGCCAAATCTCTTTATTGTTGTCCATTCTTGAGGGATTTCCCCAAAAGTTCAGAAAGAGAGGAAATAATAGCTAAGAGTTCAGTTTCATGATCAGCACTAAGACAAGGCTACTTTAAAGACACAAAATGCCTTCTAGACCAGCATGAGATGTTTGATGTTATCTGAATGATCAGCTGGTCTTATTTATTTTAGGGGGTAGAGGCATGGGAGTTTAAGCCACAATGCATGGCTAATCTAACCATCTACAGGCGAGAGACCTTCTTTAATTAGACTTAGCCTGGATGGAGATGGTGGAGAACAGGGGCAATGGATAAAGAGTCTGGTCTTCTGATTGCCATAGCAATCACTATGACCAGGTGGATGCACTAGGCTGCTTTAAAGGCCAGTGCTATCAAGGTTCTTCTACACCTTTTAGTTCTGATTTTATACTCACCCATCAACCTCCTCATTATGCTTTCATTTCCCATGTAGGTTTGCCTACAGGGAGAAGAATTTGCTGATCACACACTTTCCCAGTATTTGGGTCCCTGCTACAGTCCTCTCCCACCATAAATTTCTGAACCAGATTGGAGGGAATAGGAGTGCTTTGTTTCAGTTCCCGCATCAGTATAGTTCTAAGTGAAGTCCCTGAGCTTTGTAAAATGTGGATCCTTCAGGAAAGGGAGATCTTTAGGTCTTTGTAGGCTTGAAGACCATACTGGATCTCTGGGGCCTTCATATGGGCCAGGAAAACACCAACCCAGCTCCAGGGGCCCACTCTGCCATGTCAGCCCCTCCCCAGGCAGCGTTCCCCCACAAGCATAGGCAGCTAGTTTGCTAAGCACATTTCCTTACGTTCCAGGTAACAGGAGTTCTCATTCAGTAGGGATTATACCACTCACTTCTGGAGTGCCAGAGTCTGGCATGAGTCTGTCCCAAATAGGCTGAGTATCAACACTTGCGGATGGATTGAACAAATGGACAACCTTTGGATAGTCTGCTCACTTCTCCTCATCATGTGATTCATCATGTCTGGTCTGAATCAGTCAGCAAACTAGTAAAAAAGGGAGCAAGTTCTGTGAGGTCTCCCTTCTTGGTAATACTCCAACATGCCCCCTTCACGTCTTCCAGTGCTGGTACTCCAAGCCAAGCCACCTCTCACCCAAACTCAAGGTGGTCTCCCCACACCAAGTGTGCCTACCCTACCCTCTGCACCTGGCAACCAGATGATTTCTACAAATGTACACATGGTCTTCATGTCATTTTTGTGGTGCAGACACCTAAGTGGCTTCCCATGTACTTCCGGTTAAGCCCAAATACTTACCATCGCTTTTATGGCCTATCACGATGAAGCCCTCAAACTTACCTTTTCTCCTCAGTCAGTTGTAATCCATCTCTTCTCTTGTTCTAGGCATCCTGGGTTTTCAGCTCCTCTCTCTGCATCCCTCAGGAACATCTTTGAGCCCTCTGATCAATTTATTCTCCCCATGAAACATACCATTTATAATCCTTCAGAGCTCAGCTTTAAGATTCCCAAGTACCTCAGGGAGGCACCTCTCCCAGATTCAGTTATTTTCTCCATGCAAATGTGTACTTTCAGGGGGGCATAAACCACACAATCATATTTTACACATTTTTAATTCTCCCACAATGCTCCATGAAAATACTTCTTTTCTTAGTTGAGATGGTATCCCTAGTACATGGTACAAAGCATGTACTAGGTTGGTGGCAGATGAATAGAATTTCTGCTTCTTAGTTGTCCAGTGAAAGGCAAACAGGAAGGCTGAAGGAGTACCCGAGTGTCAGGGGAAAGATAGGAGACTGGAAAGGATGGAATAAGGCTAATGGGGAAATCCTAGCAAATTCATTTTGCACCAGACAGGTGTGTGTGTTCTCAGAAAGTACAAATGGTATTCTTGTAGTAGTGTAGCATAAGTGTACATCAGAAAAATGTCAGTGTAAGGAAGAGAAGAGGAAACTTCAAAGATGGGTGTGGTACTCTGAGGTGTAAGTATCACTCACCTGGACCAGCCACCTAGCTGTTGGAGGACCTAGTTAGTCTTCCTCTTGCCAGTTGTCTCCAAGAAGAATAGAAGATCAAGAAGGTAGAGCTGTGGAGAAAAAAAAGAAAACATGAAGCACCCAATTTATTTCACAATTACAGTGTTCTTTGGGTGGGAAGCAACCACTTCTTCTTCTTCTTTTTTTTTCTACAAAGGCAGACATCAAATGTGTCCAAGACACCTCCCAGGAAATGTCCCGAGCAATCAATTATTCCCAAGACACATGTTGTACTGTGGACTCTAATTACAGCCTTTTCCTATATGAAAGGCACTGAAGGAATTCCTGAGGTATCTTGGTAACTTCAGGGGAATTCTGGATTAAGTAATGAACCCAAGAACCCAATTGGTTACTAATTAACCATATGACATCACCCATCCTATAAGTGCAAAGTGAAAATTAGAGGGAGACAAATGGCCAGGGAGGGACTTAAAATACTTTGATAGTCAAAATAGCCTTCAAGTGGCTTTAACAAACGTCTGGATGTTGCTAGTGATTCACACACCACACCCCTTTCCCAGGATCCTGACCTGGACAGTTGGGTGTGATTTCCTTCTCGTGCCCATGTATGAAAATATTGGCTCCAGTCACCTATGTGTGGATGTAAGATGGAGGCACTGTAGCCCCTGATATCTGCTGTGCCTAAGATAAAACCCCCACGGTCCCAGTCCTCAGCCTACCAACATGAAACAGGGTTTTGTAACTGTCACTTATAAAAAGCCAGCCTCTTCTTCAGACCTGCTGCATCCACAGTGAAATGTCAGACACCCCCTTGTGGCCAACAAAGATAGCGCCAGCGAGGGTAGATGAGGCTGTGAGGACAATGTCAATCAGGAATAGAATCCCTCCCTAAAGCCAGGCCCTGTTGTCATTCAAGATGATACCTGCACAGAGAATACCAGATGCCCCCTTGTGGCCAACAAAGATGGCGCCAGGGTGAGGAGGGCACTGCAGTCTGTACCAGAGAGCCCCTCCTTCGGGCCCGCCTCTTGCAGCAAGCCCAGATGTCATTCAAATTGACACTGGCAGAATGAACACCAGACGCCCCCTTGTGACCAACAAAGATAGCGCCACGGCGGGCGGACTTCTGTGGACCAGTCACTCAGAAAGAGCTCCTCCCTCGGGCCCGCCCCCTGCAGCCAACCCAGCTGTCATTCAAGACTGCTCATGCGCCATAGATGGCAGGGCCATAAAGAATAATGGCATGGTGAACAGGGTGTATGGTCCCTTGGACAAGTCTTTCCTTCCCTCTGGCCTGCCTCTAGTGGCCACTCCAGCTACTACTCAAGGTGACAGCAGTGCAAAAAATACTAGCCATCAACTCCCAACCATGACAAGTAAAGATGGCGCCCAAGTGGGCCGGATTCTATAGTCCGGATCAGAGCTCCGCCCTCTGGCCCTCCTTCTGCAGCAAAACAAGCTGTCATTCAAGATGGCTACTGCACCATAAACGTCAGCAAAGATGGCGTCGGGTGGGCGGAGCTCCGTGCTCATTCGGAATGCTGCAGACCACACCCCTCTGACTTGCTTCTTTCAGCCCGCCAGTCCAGCATTCATTCAATATAACACCCTTACTTCAGACACTGCCTCCTAATGGCCAACAGTGTGATAGACGGGTGTGCTGCACCATCAGTCCAAATGATAACTCCTTTCTGGGGCTCTCCCCTTGCAAAACAGCTTAGCACTCAGGACCATACATCCTCTCTTTCTAGCCTGCCTCTCGCAGCCAGCCAGTCCAGCTGCCAATCAAAATGGCACAGATCACTTTAGACACTCCATTTATGCCAAACAGATGACGCCAAGGTGGGTGGAATTGTGTTCCAATCAATCATGACAAGAAAACTCCTCCCTCAGATCCACTCCCCCCTCCCACCCTCGCCAGCATGACTGTCATTCAAGATGGCGTCTGCACCATAACGATAAGCGGCCAGCTCTTGCTATCAAAGATGGCGCCAAGCTGGGTGGGGCTCTGTGAGCACTCAAGACCAGAGAGCCCCGCCTCCTGACCCGCCTCTTGCCGCAAACAAGTCCAGCTGTCACTCAAGATGACACTCACTGAGAACTTCACAGGCCCATAAAGCTCTGCGGCCACTTCAATCAAGACCAGAGTCCCTCCCTCAGGCCCACCCCCTGAAGCCATATGGGCTGTCATTCACGATTGTGCCTAACCATATCAGCAGTCAATCTTTATAGCCCCGCCCTGCCACTCCCTTCTCCATCAGCAGCCAGCAAAGATGGCGCCAGGGTAGGCGGGGCTTTGTGGTGACTCAGGATTATAAAGCCCCTCCTTATAGCCCGCCTCTTTGCAGCAAGCCCATCCAGCTGTCATTCAAGAAACCTGCAGACCATCGAAGCCCCGCCCTTGGCTAGCAAAGATGGCGCCAGGTTGGGCGTAGCTGTAAGGTCCCGTCATTCACAATAATAGCCCCTCCCTAAATCCCACCTCATGCAGCCAGCTGGGCTGTCACTCATGATGGCACCTATACAGTTACTGTCTGCAGCGCGCCTATAACCAGCAAAGGTGAACAAGCCCCTCCCTCCGATCGACCGGGCAACACTTTTTAACTGTTAATAAACCCCATAGCGCTCAGGGTCAAAAGACCTGTCAGTTGATGTTAATTTGAGACTCTGCAACCAAACCTAGCCACAAAAAAAAAAAAAAAAAAAAAAATGGAGCGTTTGAACCTGCCGCGTCATCCTTTAAATGGAAGGCCGCGAGGTGGCAGCATTCGTGCGGCAAACTAAGTACTGTGCCTAGCTCCAACCGACGCCGGAGGGTCTAGGCCACTCGGCCACTCAGAGAAGACAACAATTGGGGTGCATCTTTACTGCCAACCAGCAAAGGAGGAGATAGCACCCCATATACTCAAGCCACTTCGGCCTTTTAGTCTTTTTAGCGCAAGCTAAAGCCACGCCTGCGCGGCAAGTTGCCTGTCATTTCAAGATGGCGCCAGGTGGGCTGGGCCTGCTGAGTCCGCCAGGGCCCCAAGTGGGCTACGTCACTGGGTCTTAGCTCCGCCCCTACCACAAGCAGCCAATCAGTATAAGCCTGCGCAGCAAACCTGTCTCCACCCTCCAAGATGGCGCCAACTGGGTGGAGCCGAAAAGTATCTCATAGCCTCCACTTTGGTCCCGCCCCTAAACTGCCCTCAGCCCCGCCCACCGCCACTGCGGCAAAACAAGACCCGCCCCCAAGAACAGTGCCGCGCGTAGCGGTAGATGGCTAGATTGCGAAGACCCTGCCAGCCAGAGGACCTGGCGATCGGGTTAATCGCATAGCCCTTAGACTCTGCTAAGCAAAGAAAATGAAACCACAGACGATGTGGCTCAGAGACGGCACTCTGATGTCCACTGTGGTGGTCTTATGACAGGACTCCTGCATCATCTGTGTGGCCGTCGGCCACGCAGGCGAGACAGGGAACCTGGATTCTCCCAGGATTCTGGGTGGTTCGCTCCTAAGACCCTAAGATCGCAGGACCCTGAGGCTCCGTTTCGAGGCCTCAACCTACAGAATACCCCTTTTAATCCCCGTCACCTAAATGGCATCCCTGCGGCAACACGGCCGCTCCATGGCGATTCCCCCTTCCCAAAGGCGCAATCTGCAGCCTTGTCAATCACCCCTGGCGAGTTGTGATATGGTCTGCCGCCCCTGGCCACGCGGCAACGCACCCCGAACACCATCTGAACTCTGCAGACTGTATTCAAGAGGGTACATGCCGCAGAGCAGGCAGGTGGCTGGCTGACTCACCTCCCGGGAGCACCGCACTCTGCGCACACACTCCGACCAGAGTCGGCAGTCTAGTGCACCCACACTGAACCGGGCGCCCGGCGGCGCCACCAGCCCAGGGTGGACATCTCTCCGCTTCTCTTCCGATGCTCGTCCTCCCGCGACTCCTGACTCCCCAGCGTCTGCAGCAAGGGCTGCGGGACGCCTCCTTGTCAGGGTCCTCTGCAGAGGCGGAGCTTTCTCTCTGACCAATCCAAGATCCCGTTTCCCGCTTTGGGCCTTCACCACGCCTCCCATACCCTGCCAATCAGACTGCTGTTGTCAAGGCAACAGCTTGGCGCCAAGGCACCGAGTTGACGTCAACGCAGTCAGTGTTAGGGGCCCCCAAGCAGAGTCTGGAAAAGGGGGATGGGATGTGGGTGTGAAGGGATGCAGCCCCCCCAAAAGAAATCGGGATGAATCAGAATACCTACTAATGATGCCCCAATGCAAAACCTGAGAAGAGAGAGTGGGAAAAAGGACAAGCATATATTTGTCTAAAATCGGGAAAAAGGAAAAAACCGAGGCAGAAATATATACGTTGAGGTCTAACCACGAACGATAAAGGTGGAAGAAAGGACTTTTCTGCCTGCAACACCCAAGCACTAATTTCCTTAATAAACGAAGAGCTATTGGAAGCCAACAAGGGAAAGACAAAAGCAAATCAAAAAAGGGGGCAAAAGAGACTGCACGTCACAGGACAATACAAATGGCTGGAAGAATCATGACCTGACTGTCTGCATAGCGAAACGCCAACCTGAGATACCGGGTGAAGGCGGTTTATGGCAGCGCGCTGAATCGCATGTGGTCATCCACCATTGCGTGAATCCTCTGCATAGAATAGCAAGAAATTGCAAGGAGAGAAAGCGGGTAGCTTACCAAGCCTGCCTCTGATAGAAGACATTCCTAGTCACCAGGAAAAATAACGGGGGAATCGCTGCCATAAAGGACCTGGATCCAATGAAATAAAGCCCGCTGCTGAAGTTTGTAGAAACGAATGGTAAGTGGCTTTTTTTTTATTATTATAAATTTCCTTCTCATTTGTTTCTTTGTTAAAAATATACAAATGTGGGCAAACCTTCTGGAACGATGTCCAAAAAAAATTTTTAAATGGTTACCTCTAGGAAAAGGAATGGGGGAGGGGAGGACAGACTACGGAAAGATGATTTTGGCTTTATTCTCTGTGTCCATGAATTTCCTTGGCAGATAAATGGTATTTCTTCCCTGGCAGTAAAATCGA